TGCGTCTGGGTCTAATTCTCTTTTTGAGCTTACTTTAATTAATTTGCTCAAGAATCAAAAGCCTGCTTACACTTTATAGGTAATCACAATTGTTCTCATCATCATTCGTTCACTTTATAATCCAACGCTCATCCTTCTCTATCTTCTGATCAGCGGTGATAAACAAATTTGTGACGTTGTATTATCCTACTACTTGCCCCACATGTTAATTCCTTTATTAGACCATTACTTTTTTAAATAAAAATACTTTTTCTTTTTCTCTTTATTTAAAATCAAATAAAGGAATTAATGGTATATATATATAATTACTGAAAATACAATAATGTGTTCAAATTGATAAATAGATTGGGTTGAATGTCAACAATTATTCAAAGCGTTGTCGTTTTTAGACAAGATAGGGGGAGTCAACAATGGCCCGCTAATTAAGGGGTGACTCAGCAATTAGAATTTAGAAGGACAAAATTATATCCGCAGTTCCGCACACACTCTTTTGACAGTTGCATGGAAATTAATTTGATTAATGTTTAATTAATCAACATTAAGAAAAACAAAAGGACAATTATTTCTCTTATATCACTCCGCCTTTGTCGGTGGTAACCAATACACATACACAGATACACTCACTCCACTCTTACTGCCATCACCACTTACTTCCAACTCTCTCTAATGGCTACGTTTCTCTCTAGTTCCCTCCCTCTACAGTTCCTTCTCCTCTTCATTCTCTCCGGTTCCATCCTCCTAACTCAATCCCTCTCCACCGATCAAACCCTCAAAACCTTCATCTTCCGTATCGATTCACAATCCAAACCCTCCATTTTCCCTACTCACTACCACTGGTACAGCTCCGAGTTCGCTACTCCACTCCAAATACTCCACACATACGACACCGTTTTCCATGGCTTCTCCGCTATTCTCTCTCCACAACAAGCAGCCTCTCTCAGCGACCACCCCGCCGTCCTCGCTGTCTTCGAAGACAAGCGGCGCGAACTCCACACCACGCGCTCACCTCAGTTCCTCGGACTCCGCAACCAACGCGGACTCTGGTCCGACTCCAACTACGGATCCGACGTCATCATTGGCGTGTTTGATACCGGTATCTGGCCCGAACGACGTAGTTTTTCGGATTTGAACATCGGGCCCGTTCCTTCGAAATGGAAAGGCGTGTGTCAAACGGGAGTCAAATTTAGTCAGAATAACTGTAACAAAAAAATTATCGGCGCCAGATTTTTCTCTAAAGGCCACGAAGCGGCTGCGAGATCGCCTGGTCCTATAAGCGGATCACTCAATGACACGGTTGAGTTCATGTCTCCGCGTGACGCGGATGGCCATGGTACCCACACCGCCTCAACTGCTGCCGGCCGTTACGCGTTCCGTGCCAGCATGGCAGGCTATGCTTCAGGAATCGCTAAAGGCGTGGCGCCGAAATCCAGACTGGCGGTTTACAAGGTTTGCTGGAAGAATTCCGGATGTTTCGATTCCGATATCCTCGCCGCCTTTGACGCTGCTGTCAATGACGGAGTTGACGTCATATCCATATCAATTGGAGGCGGTGACGGAATTTCATCACCTTACTATCTCGATCCGATTGCTATCGGATCGTACGGTGCCGTTTCGAGAGGCGTGTTCGTTTCGTCATCAGCCGGTAACGACGGTCCTAACGGAATGTCAGTGACCAATCTTGCTCCGTGGGTCACCACCGTTGGAGCCGGCACTATTGATCGTAACTTCCCGGCGGAAGTGGTTCTCGGTGACGGTCGGAGACTCTCTGGAGTTTCACTGTACGCTGGTGCACCGTTAAGCGGTAAAATGTATCCGGTGGTTTATCCTGGTAAATCAGGGGTTTTATCAACTTCTCTGTGCATGGAAAATTCGTTGGATCCGAGTTTGGTGAAGGGTAAAATCGTAATTTGTGATAGAGGAAGCAGTGCAAGAGTGGCTAAAGGTTTAGTTGTGAAGAAAGCCGGAGGTGTGGGCATGATTTTGGCTAATGGAATATCAAACGGTGAAGGTTTAGTCGGTGATGCTCATCTTTTACCGACTTGCGCACTTGGTTCCGATGAAGGTGACGCCGTTAAAGCCTATGTTTCATCCGGCGCTAATCCGACGGCTACCCTAAATTTCAAGGGTACGATCCTTGGGATCAAACCGGCTCCAGTGGTGGCTTCGTTTTCGGGCAGGGGACCCAACGGGTTAAACCCTGAGATTCTTAAGCCGGATTTGATTGCTCCTGGTGTTAACATTCTTGCAGCTTGGACTGATGCTGTTGGTCCAACTGGATTGGATTCGGATCCAAGGAAAACAGAATTCAATATTTTGTCAGGAACTTCAATGGCATGTCCACATGTAAGTGGCGCTGCGGGGTTGCTTAAATCTGCTCATCCGGATTGGAGTCCGGCGATGATAAGGTCGGCTATGATGACTACTGCTAATATAATTGATAATAGGAATCAACCCATGACTGATGAGTCGACCGGAAAAGCTTCCACTCCTTATGATTTTGGTGCTGGTCATGTTAGTCTTGATCGAGCAATGGATCCAGGATTGGTTTATGATATAACTAACGATGATTATGTCAACTTTTTGTGTGGAATTGGTTACGGTCCAAAGATAATTCAGGTGATCACAAGAACACCGGTTAAGTGTCCAGTGAGGAAGCCATTGCCCGAAAATCTCAACTATCCTTCAATTGCGGCATTATTCTCAACAGCTTCCAAAGGGGTTTCCAGGAAGATGTTTATCAGGACTGTGACCAATGTGGGTCAGACGAACGCTGTTTACCGAGTGAATATTGAGAATCCAGGAAAGGGGGTTACAGTGAGTGTAAAACCGGCCTCATTGTCATTCTCGGCTGGTGTCAAGAAGAGAAGCTTCGTGGTGACAGTAACCGCAGATAGCAAGAACTTGGTGTTGGGTGATTCTGGTGCTGTTTTTGGGGCAATTTCATGGTCGGATGGGAAACATGTTGTGAGGAGTCCTCTTGTGGTCACTCAGTTGGAACCATTGTAAACTCGAAGCCGGAATTGGATCATCTGCTCTTGATCGATGAATATGGCAAAATGGTTATAGATATTTAGCAGTAGAATTTGCAACGCATATGAGTTAAAATCTTTTATGTGTGTATGTGTTTTCATCTTCTGCAGGATCATAGGATTAGGGAGGGGCACCAACTTGGTTTTTGGGAGTGAATTTAGTGTGTTATTTGTTTTTTTTTTTTTTTTTTTCTTTTTTTCTTATGTAAGATCCCTTTTTAAGTTATGTTATATGTATAAACTGAACAAGTTTATATACTCCAGTCGGAAAAAAAAAAAAAAATTATATGTCTAGTTGTCACTTCTCTGAATATTGAAAGCAATTCTATCTTTGAAATTTTTATACCATAAATGGGTTGTCTTCATTCTCTTGTGTTATAAAATGGTTGAAAAATTCAACCTCACTGGCCTTTCTCCTCCTGGACTGGGAAATTTAACTGCTCCATTAGCTGCCAGTCTTACCTTATTTTAGGAAATTAGCCTTTTGAAGCCAGGGTTTTCTATCACATCCTTTTCTTGACCCCATGAGTTATTATAATATGAGTAAATGACATATTCTCACATGAGCTTTAGTGAAATCTAAGTTGATATCTTTTGGTAGTATTTTTTCTTTTTCTTTCATTTTACAAGATTTTTAATTTTCTACTGTAGTGTGGTGCACGTTAGCATGTTTGTTAGCGCTTTCTTTGACAAAAGATGAGCTCATTTTAGCAAAAATTGGGTCATGTTGACAATGTCCAAGTTGGTGGTTTTTGGTTTTTTCTAGTCGATTCTAAAGTCTAAAATTACTTTTGAGACTACCGTTGGATTCTCTACAATCTCCTTTATAAAACTCATACCTTCACTTGTTGATCTCACTTACCTTTTTCGACCACCTCTAATCGTTACTAATAGTATTAGTTTAAAGGGGGGATATAGAATAAATGCAACCAGTTATATGAGCTTAAAATTTCACTAAACCTCGGGTGGAAATATGTCGTTTAGTCTTATCATGAATGTTTTTGTATTATGGGCAAGAAGTAATATAAGTAACTTAAATTCCCAGAAAAATGATAATAAACCCAACTGCATTTTTAATGTGTTGGGATCCTCTAGATTTCTCCATTAATTATATAAAAGATTCACTAGCCGTTAAATTTTTGTCTTGTTCTGTTTCAACTACTCACACATTTTAAAGATTCAATTTTTAATTATTCAATTCTCTGATACAATTCACACATTTTCAAGACTGAGATGATATAAAATACTATTACAGGCAATGCATATGTTCCGTATTTTTCTTCTTCCTTACCCAGAATTCATCAACAATTTCCATGCCTAGATATTAAAGAAAAAAAGAGATAAAGCACAAAACCCTTTTAACTTTGAAATTAGAGCAACACTTTTGTTCTTGTTTTGTCTTGTCCATGGGATTCACCAGGGCCACTGTCACTAAAGAACACTTGAATGATTAAAGATATTAGACCCCTCCAAAATCAATTCCATGTGCTTTTAACCTAATTCATGTCACCTCTTCCAATTTTATAAAAGTAAAAGGGCTCTATCGTATCACTGTAAAAAGTCTTTAGACATGTTATCGCCCTCCATTACTTTACATGAGGATTCAGAAAACAAATTACAAACTTGTGGGTCATCTTCTCATACCTAAAATTTTGGTACCCATTATTCAACCTTAGGGTACAGTACACCCATTAGTACTTGGAAAATGCCTCAGTTTTTGGACCAACATGGGTATTTTCTTTAATTTAGCTTGTGAAACTTTGCTTACAAGTCACTTAAACCTATTGAAATCTGTGAAACTTTATCGAAAAGTGGTTCATGGGTTCAAACCATTCAAGGTTTTTGCATTAACAAGACAAAAGCTTGAGCAGCAATTAATCAAACACAAAGGATATTATATGTAGCCTTAGTAAAGGGTTAGTTCAAATTAATAATGTCTAATGATATATGTTAGTTAAGATATTATATGTAACCTTAGTCAAGGGTTAGTTCAAATTAATAATGTCTAATGATATATGTTAGTTAAGACTTATTATGTGTAAAGGAGTTGGACTCCAATTAGAGTTTTGAATTGATGAGCTTGAAACCATCTTGCTTTGGACATGATCTTACCTACTGAAAAAAACAAATAAATAAAGCAAATCTGGTCTTCGCTTTTAGTAGTGACAGCTATGTGTTCATTATTTTTCTGTTCTTTATCAAATTGCTTTGTGATTGTAATGTTATTTGGACTCATGTTTAAAGCTCAATGTAAAAAAGTTCACATCTAAATACTTTTGCGTGGTTGAGTGGTTTGATAGGGACTCTTGGGTGTATTACTCATGATGTCTTGAGTTCGAGTTCTTTTTCGGTTGTTAATAGGGGTAGTAACTAAAGTTCTTATCCGACTAGTAGTTTCAGGGTTTTAGGGATTAGTTGAGGTACGCATAAACTAGTCCAGACACTCCCAGTCATCAAAAAAAAAACAAAAAGTTCACATCTAGAGTGGAAGCTGATGTGGGTGTGTTTGATCTTTTGATTTAGTTTGTATAATTGTCAGGTTAATGATAAGCGTGAATAATATTTCTACTTGGTTGAATCTGAGATTTGATAAAAACATTAACGTTTATACCTGTTTATGTTTTCTTTACGATCAAATCACTTCAACTAATAATAGTCCCTGACAAATTCTTCACCATATTGCACATGTAAATGAGCAGAACCTGAGGGGTAAACGTTCTATTTTGTGCCATATCAGTGAAAAGATATTACACTTTCTTAAACGTTTCATGAAACCGATTTGGATTACGTGTTCTACAATATACAATGATAAGACAAAAATACTAGAAAGAAGCAGAAACTGCAGGCAGAATATAAAGAGAGATAATAGAGAAGATCACTAATAGGAAAATATGATTCACAAAATTGTTACACACTATTGTATCTGATATCCCATTTTAGCATATCAGACATATACAATACTGAATATTAATGAAACGAGAGGCAAAATTAACAGTACATTGAGAGAGAGGAGAGAAGGAAGAAGGACAAGAAAGTCTTAGAACAATTTAAGTATTTGATGCTGATGTAGATGAGATAATCCAGAAGGAGTTGTCAATTGTAGACCCATAAAGCAAGGTAACCCAAACTGTATAACCACATCTATAAATACAGGAGTTCTCTTAGAACCACAGAAAAAAACATGAGAAAAAGGTTCTTCTTATCCATTTGCTTTGCTCGTGGCCTCTTATGCTTCCTTATCTGAGTACTTTGGGTTTGTCGGCTGATGTCAATTCCTGAAGAATCAAATTATCACAAGGTTAAAATCATCTTCATGAAAGCGGTAAGAAAACTAAGATGAGCATTCAGATAGAGAAGCTCTTTAAAAAATATGCTAGAATGGGTTCAACTCAGGGTCATTAAACTCCACATTTTCCTTTCGTTACATTTCATTTATAGCAGCATATCTTGTGATACACTTAAAACAATATAGATATGTTTTGTTATCAGAAGAATCAAATGTAATAACAAGCAAAGTAATTCTAGGATGCTTTTTCCTCTGTATCAATTACTCATACAACCCAACAAATTTGCTCAACGGGACCATCATTCTGCTTCTTTCTCGTACGGAAAATAAATACAAAAGGAGGAATCCAATGGAGTCCAATTGACCTGCAACCTAGTTTAATCAATGGAATTGATGATGCCAAGTCCCTTCATTTAGGGAAATTTCTCTATGAATGGGTATAAGATAGGTGATTGAAAAAAGTCCAAAAAAAAAGAAAACTCCTAGCTTGATAATATTGCTTTGGAGAAAGGGTAAGATTGAAAGGAGAGAGAAAGAAGAAGCTATAAACTACCACTAGATGGTCTAACGGTCAACTATGACTCTTGGGTGTATTATTCAAGAGGTCCTGAGTTTGATTCACCTAGGTTGCTAATAGAGGTGGTCTGAGGGGATTTACCCATTATCAACTTCAGGGCCCGAGAGATTAGTTGAGTGCACGATAGCTGGCGCCGACCCTGAGTCACCAAAAAAAAAAAAAAAAGAAGCTATGCTCCCACAATTTCAAAACTGCATTCAACCATATCATATTCATTAAAACAGAACATATATAATCATTTTTCACAATTCATTGTCCTGAAACTCCAAATAAGTTCTCTCTTTCATATGGTCCACTATGTGGAAAACTATGTATATATTATTTTCTGATTCATAAGAAATTGAATCTTCAAGTTAAGAAGATACATTTTTAAGTTATATTTGTCCATATCAGAACAGCGTCAGACGAAGTATTGGAGGGGTATCACACCAATATATCTAGCAACGGATGCCAACCTGAGTTTTGGAAACTATAACCTGGGGCAGCACTCCTGTTCTTTGACTATGGCATTGTCATAAATGTGAGCTCAATATCTCTATGACGGTATACAATGCACAGTAGTTGTTGTAATCAATTCAGCTTCACGTGGTCATCAAGCTGACTGCCATTACATGAACCAGCCATCAAAGCAACTGTAACTCCTTTTAGCCTGAAAATACACTTTGATGAGCGACCAAATATCATTCCTGCTCTATTGCCAGACTGTTTTCTTCCCTCTCTACTTCATTGAAAAATATCCGATCTAGTCAAAATTTACAAAATTCCATGAAGAAAACCGCTAGATGGTGATGATCACAACCAAGCAATACGTCAAGACTTTGGTGGATGCTATAAGAACAAATTAATTCTCCTCTACATTTAGCAAGAAAGAAAGAATAATTAACCAGAGTCACAAGAACTACTATTGAGAAAACTAATCCCCGGATTCTTAATTAATCCTTTCTTCTGCATGCTCATTCTCAATGCTACAGCATCCTGAAACCTCCCAACAGATGCATAAACGTTTGAAAGGAGCACAACTTGACCCAATTCACCTGGGTCCTGCTCAAATACCTTGCTTGCAGCAAATTCTACCAGCTCCACATTACCATGAATCACACATCCACTAAGCAAAGCCCTCCAAATATTTGGACCCATCCCGTCCAAAAGTTTTCCAGCAAGCCCACTTGCGTCTGGCAAGCAGCCTGCTCGAGCAAGCAAGTCAACTACACACCCATAATGTTCTTGGCTCGGCTTTACTTTATTTTCTTTCACCATTTGATTGAAAATAACCAAGCCATCACTTATTAGGCCTGCATGACTACAAGCACTCAAAACACACAAGTAGGTTGCACTGTCAGGATCTTTCCCACTCTTCTTCATCTCATGGTGGAGAGTGAGAGCAGTTTCTCCATTGCCATGGACCCCATACCCATTAATAATGGCATTCCATGAGACTACATCTTGAAGAAAACCCATATCCTTGAAAATAATATGGGCAAGGTTCACATTTCCACACTTCGAGTATGTTGATATGAGACTATTTTGAACTGTGATATACTGAACGAAGCCAGCTCCAAAAGCGTAACAATGGAGCTGCTGGCAGAGCTCTAAAGCAGCAAGCTCACTGGAAGCTGTGAGAGCAGTGACTAACATTATTGAATCAATGAAATAGTTCTTTTCTTGTCTCACCTTAATCAAGAGATTCAAGGCCTCTATTGCACATCCATTCTGGACATATCCTGAAATCATTGCTGTCCAGGAAACCAAACTCTTCCGACTTGCATGATTAAACATAGCTCTTGAAGAATCTAAATCTCCACACTTTGAATACATGGCAATGATAGAGTTTGTGAGAGGGAGCCCCGATTCAAAACCACAAACAACAGCTTGTGCATGAATTTCTCTTCCTCTCTTCAAATCTCCCAAAACAGCAGTAGCTGAAATCAAATTCATAATAACTACCATATCACACATGATCCTACTCTTCCTCATTTTGCCAAAAATCTTCAGGGCATCACAAGGATATTCAAGGTCTACCAATAAACCCATCAGTGTAGTCCAACTGATAACATCTTTATATTCCATCCCTCCGAAAATTTTGGTAGCAGCTCCCAAATCCATCAAACACGAATACATGTCAAGTAGCGAGTTATTAACAGATATATCCAAAATAAGTCCCACCTTAACTATTAAACCATGGAGGGATTCACAAAGTTTCTTTGATCCTAAAGCACCACAACCCTGAATAACCGTCAATATTGTCACAGCATTAGGCACCAAATGAATCTCCAGAGTCGGTTAAACAATAAAACAGCCTCTACAAAATGTTCATTGTTTATAAACCCAGCAATAATTGCATTGCAAGAAACCAAACTTGGGTTCTTCAGTCCTTCAAATAATTTATAGGAACAAAATATATCTCCACATTTTGCATATGCATCAAGCATTGTAGTACCAACTATTAAATCAGTTTCAAGTCCATATTTTACAAGTAGCCCATGAATAGATTTCGCAAGTTGCAAGTTTAGCAAGCCGGCAGTGCTAACAAGAGCACCAACCATAGTGAAAGAATTGGGCAACAAACCCAAGAGCATCATTTGGGAAAATAATTTTATGGATTTATGGTACAACCCACTTATTGCATACCCATGAATCACAATGGACCATGAAACTACACTCTTCTCAGGAATTTCATCGAACAGGTCCTCTGCATCTTTAATCCTTCCAGATTTAAAATAATTACTCAAGAGTTTGGAGGAGTTATATGGATCGACGCAAGAAGCATCAGGTTTGCATAATGAAGTACAGAATCTACCGAATTGGAGAACATTCAAAGCGGTTTTCTTAATTTTGTTGAAAAACATCGAAACTCAAGTGTTAGGGAGTGACTGAATGATTTGATGGCGGCGGATGAATGTCATGGAGTAAGGGTGAATTTGATATGTTTACAACGAACAGGGTTGTCGGAAACGTCGTTCGAACTAGAGGCATTCATCATATATTATCATATATGAAGATAAACGATAGGGGTGCACATTTGTAAGACGAGAGAATTTGACAAACCATTGGACCTTTTTGATATTGCAAAAATTGAAGTGTTGAAAATCATTAAGTCAAAATTCAGTGATTTATGGGATATTTTATTTAATAAATATAAGAAATTTTCAAAATATTCAAAATTTCAAGTCAAAATAATACCAATTGCCAATTGGGTTTAAATTTTAAAGAATATTTTATTTTATAAAAGAAAATGATAATCAGATAAGAAATGCTATAATCTTATATTAAAATCCGTTATTTTGATGCTAACTTTATAATATAATATCGTTAAATTTTGAGTCAAGAATTGACCTCTATGAGGTTTGTTTTAATAACAAAATAACTCTAAAGCTTTTAATATAATATAATTTTTATTAACAGTTAATGAATAGTTTATGAGTCGTTATAATTTTTATGAATATTGACCGAATATTTTATTATAATTTATTATAAAACTAAAATATAACGATAATTCTTGTTATTTGAAAAACTAAAAAAAAGATAGTAGGGGAGGTTATAACTTACATTGTTATGAATAATTATCGAACATTTTTACAATTAATTAAAACTTTTAACCGTAATTTTACAAAATTTTAGTTTTTTAGAAAATGGACCAAAAGGATTTTTGTTTTCAAATTACACATTTAAATATAAGACAATTTAAAAATCACAAATATTCAAAAAATTTAAGTCAATATAATACCAATTAGGTTAAAATTCCCAAGTACATATATTTCACTTTATCTAAATAATTAATTATGAGATAATGAATAATAGTATAATACAATATTAAATTAATTTCTGTTATTTTGATGCTAACTTTATAATAAAATATCACTAAACTCCCCTAAGGTTTGATTTCATATCAAAATACCTCTAAAACTTTTGAAATAACAAAAAGTTCTTATATGTCTTTCATAAACCGTTTGTTCTATATTACGCTATTATTTATTTTTGCCGTATGTCTTCCCACTGTTTGTTATTACCAAACGTCCAAAAGACAAGCAGATATCCGTTACCAGCGCGAGTTTCTTCTTCAGAGCAATTAACCGCCACAGTCTTCTAGGCGACTACTTCTCTTGAATAACAAGATAACTACCACCTTAAAAATAACCCTTGTATTTCTCTTCTTCATTGTCTTGTAAGAAACTAATAACAAAATCTTCACGTTGATTATAGATATGTCGGTCTTCGAAAGGTCCTTCAAATTATCTCTACCCACAAGCGATTCTATCAAACTCAGAAGCCGCTTCTGTATCAACTTCTGCTTCATCTTCTTAAATTGTACCCTTCAGTTGACATGGCACAAGTAGCGGAGAAGCACTTTCCAGAGGACGATGCCGTTTCGCAAACTACAAACATTGTACCGTCTGAAAATGTTCTTGTCAAGATACCTGGGGCCATAGTTCATCTTATTGAAAGAGAACACAGTGTTGAACTGGCTTCTGGTGAACTCAACATAGTCAGTCTTTCACAAGGTGATATTGTTGTAGCTGTTTTTGCACGTATAGGGGATGAAATTCAATGGCCTTTAGCTAAAGATGAGCCTGTAGTGAAGCTTGATGAATCTCACTATTTCTTCACTCTTTGTATACCTGATCAAGACGATCATGAGTTGTTGAATTATGGGTTAACGATTGCCACCAAAGGACAAGGTGATTTGTTGAAAGAATTGGATAATGTTTTAGAGACTTACTGTTGTTTTTCGGTTGAGAAAGTGAGGGATATGGAGAGCTGGGAGGTGGTGGCAAGGGAGATGTCACCAGAGGAGTTGAAGTCAGAAGATAATAAGGAATTGATGGAGAAAAACTCGGCGGCTTATTGGACTACTTTGGCACCGAATGTTGAGGACTATAGTGGGACTTTTGCGAGGATGATTGCAGCGGGGTCGGGGAAGTTGATTAAGGGTATTATGTGGTGTGGCGATTTGACTGTGGACAGGTTGAATTGGGGCAATGAGTTCTTGAGGAAGAGGATGAAACCGAGTTCAAAATCTGAGATTAGTCCTGGTACAATGAGGAGGATTAAAAGGTTTGGCTTTTATATTTTTTACATCATGCTTGATGGTTTCTTTGAATAGTACTTCTTTGTGCATTTTTTATTCATTCCCATTTGTAGGTCCTAATTTTTTGTGTCAGTGAAATGTAGAATACAGGTGATTTTGGCTTCTAATATTTGTTACGAACCTATGTAGGGTTAAGAAGGTGACAAAGATGTCCAAGAAAGCCACTACTGGAATTCTTTTAGGGGTTGTCAAAGTGACCGGATTCCTCACAAATTCAATTGCCAACTCTAAAGCTGGCAAGAAATTCTTTAGCATTCTGCCTGGAGAAGTTGTCCTTGCTAGTTTGGACGGATTTGGTGAGTTGTTCTTTTCTTACTGCCTTGGCTTATATATCCTTAATCAGCTTTGAAGTATATTTTACTTATGTAGTTATAGTATGTGCTATATCTTGTAGCTTTAAGATTTGTTATGCTCTGTACTTGCTGCTCATGTTATTGTTCATTCTATGTACAGAGAAAGTTATTAATGCAGTTGAGGTTAGCGGTAAGAATGTTATGTCAACTACATCAGTAGTAACTACTGGGCTTGTTTCAGAGAGGTATATCTTTAATCTCAATCTAACAACATAATTGATGCTTCATTATGCTATCACCACTTTGATGTAACAATATAATTGATGCCTCATTTTTTCAAAATTTTTTAAACTAATATATTTTCTAAAGATGATTTTCATCCTTTTTCGTGTATGTTATTTTTCATTGGCTGGTTTAATCATATTGTTTCTCATTTTAGGTATGGGGAGGAAGTAGCAAAGGCAACCAACGAAGGGCTAAATACAGCAGGAGATGTAATTGGCTCTGCTTTGACCATTTTTAAGATAAAAAAGGCGATCGATCCAGTAACTATGTTGAAACCCACAATCCTTGCAAAATCTATTGGGAAAGCAAATTATGTCGAATTGAAGGCAAAAAAACATAAATAATAGCAACTCATAGATTTGCCCTTTATTTGCCTTTGTCTGATAGCAAGAAGAATGGTTTAAAGATTATGTAGAGATTCATTTCCTGGTTTTTTTTTTTTTTTTGTTCTGTTAATGCTGGAGTTTTTGCCTTTTATTTTGCAATAATTGTAGACGCAGACATGTAGTTATATTTGTTTGTTCTTTTCATGAATAATATACTCAAACTTCGTTTTTTTTTTTTTTTTATTTGCATTTTTCTGATGTGAATCTTAACGACGGTATGAGGTTAAAAGTATTGAAATTAACTGTTACTAGTACTAGAAACAGTAGAAAATACTGTTACATGTACTTAGTATAAGAACAAAATTTGGATATCAATTTGAGTCTTCAAGGCACTAATAGGGGTAAACTCTTATCTGATCGATAGTTTCAGAGTCCTGAGAGATTAATTGAGCTGCGTGCAAGGTGACCCAAACACCTCCTGTGATTAAAAAAAAAAAAAAAAATTTAGATACCAAGACTTCTTTAACTGGGAATGATTCATTTTACTCATTACCTTACTTTTGCTTCTTATTAAAGTTTCATACACCGAAAACAACCACATAAATTATGCCTCTACAAAATTCCTAGTGTATATGGATTCAAGGATCACTCTCAATCCTGAGCAGGTTGTTTTGAAGGGCTTATATTGAAATCAATAACAACTACAGCTAAAAAAAAAATGCAATCAAATACGATTATAAGCAATTAGCTAGAGGATTATTAGCTCAACAGCTGAATCCAAAAAACAAAAAATGAAAACTTTGTGATTGACTGGTCTTAAAGCGAGAAATATTCTAGTAAGAGAGAACAAAAATCCAGCAAATGAACTAGAAAAGAAACACCCTGTGGCTCCACCAATTCCACCCCATTCTCTATTTGTTTGTTTGTGGAGTGCAGGTAGTTTCACTGGTGTTGTGATGAGCAACAGCGATTTCTCGAGATAAGCGGTGGGGAGTGGAAAAATCGTTGGCTGATGAAAGAAAGGGGAGAGGAGATAAGGCGTTGCGGTAGAGGGGGAAAAATGGGAGGTCGATAGGTGGAATGGGAGAGGAGAGAAAGATTGCGGTACTTGGTGTTGTGATGAGTGACTATGTGGGCGGAGATGAGTGGTGGCAAATCTAAAAATGAGAAGGAGAAAGAAAATGGTGGAAAGAAAATGTGACGTAGCAAATGAGGAAAAAAAATGGGAAGGAGAAAATGAGGATTTAAAGAAAAAGAGCTTGAGTGATCAATTAGGATTCTTGGGAGTTAGGTGTATTACTCAAGCTGTTTTTAATTCGATTCATCTTGACTGCTAACAAGCATAGGACTATACACAAACTGAGTAGCTCGCGAATTGCTCGAGATTGGCTCACAGATGCTCGAATCTGACTCGAAGTTTGATGAGCCGAGCACAGTATAGAACTACTCGTTTTGTAAACAAATCGAGTACCAAATATGGTGGTACTTGGCTCGGAGGCTTATTGATCTTCTCAAGCTCGCTGGTGAGTGAGCTATCGAGCTCAAACCTGATTGCGATCTCTAGAGCTTGTGTTTTTGTTAAACACTAAATGACACTCTCCCACTCAGTCTCCCTCCAAAAAGAGACACAAATACCCAAAATCCCTAACTTTCTAAAATCTAAACACAATCCCGAGAGAGATTTTCCCTCCCAAGTCCCAACCCTAACCCGACAACCCCATAACCAGTCGAAGAAGGGAGAAGACAAATTCTTTTGATCCTCTCTCAAGCTACAACCTTCACATCGAAATAAATCAGTGATTTCCTACAAAGTAAGCCGAAAAATCGATTCTCAAGTTGTCTCTCTCTACCAAAGACTCCATTCTCAACCCCAAGTCCCTAAGACCTCGACCCCAAAACCAATTGAAGAACTCAACTTCCTCTCTGAAGTTTCAAGTCTGACTTGTCTCTCTCTCTCAATTCTAGAATAGTATCAGCCTGAGGTTTGTGTTTGTAACTTTTTTAATATCAATCTCCAATCATTGTTCAGTTTATCTCTAATTTTTCTTTATATTGTGTTGATTTTGTTGAAAGTTGACACTTAAAGATTTTGTTTTGTCATCAGACCCATCACTTGCCACTCACCAGGATAGGTTGATGCCGATTTGTGCTTAACGCCTTGAAGCTGTGACTGTGAGTCTGTGAACATCAATCCTTGCTTGATTTCAACGTGAAGCTGTGAACATCAGGTATTTGTTCTTGGCATAATAACTTGAGGTGCTGACAATAATAATGCACTACTGATTAGTGATTACTGATACTGGTTACTAAATAGTGAATACTGACCACTCAGTTGGAGTGAAATAGATAGAATTATGTTGATTTTGTTGTTGCGTGGAAGGGTAATGTTAGTGTTTATATCGGGTTGGGGCGCTGGGCTAATCAACAAGATAGTCTAGTCCCTTGCATTTTTCTTGTATGATAATGATGTCAAATTTTTTATTCCAAGTTTCTAAATTATATTACAATAATAACTAATCATGTGTTTTTCTTATTTGTGAACAGATATGACATCAACTCCATCGAGTTTCATTGGTCACAACCTGCAATTGACAGTAATGCAACAACTTCAGCTACTGTTAATGAAGAAGATACAAAACAAATTGATGTTAACCCTTTTGCAAGAAAAAAGAGGGCTAAGACATCTGCAGTGTAGAAGGATTTTAGAGAAATTGATGTTCCTAACAAACCGAAAGCTGAATGCATCCATTGCAAAAGGAGGTTTGCGATAACGGGCACCAGGAGCACTACTCACCTTTCAAGGCACTTGAAGACTTGTGTACGGCGAAAGCTGTTTGAAAGGCAACAACTAAGGTATTTCTAAGCAACAAATCCATTTGATGCAGGCAATGTTATCCCTGTTCTTACCGGAGGTAAATTTGACATGGCAAAAATGCAGGAATTAGTGGCCACTTGGGTGCTGATGCATGAGCATCCCTTTACTATTATGGAGGAAGAAGGATTTAATAACATGCAGAGGTATGAGATCCCTGAGTGGGAAAAGATTAGTCGTAGGATGTGTAAAAATGATGATGTTACTTTGTTTGAATGGGAGAAGATAAAGCTGAAGACTTTGTTGAAGGATGTTGATAGAATAAGCTTGACGATCGATTTATGGAAGTCATGTAATCAAAGGATTGAGTACATGGTATTGACGGGGCATTTCGTAGATGGTAATTGGAGGTAACAAATTCTAAACTTCTTGTACATAGCTCCTCCACACACTGGTTCCCAAATTGTAGATTTAATTTATAAGTGTTTGAAGGAATGGGGTATAGAGAACAAGGTGTACACGATATTAGTGGATAATGAATCAAGTAATGATGCAACAATCAGGATTTTAAAGAAGAATTTGGCAATTGATAATAGGCTGCTTTGTGGAGGGAGATTATTCCACGTTAAGTGTTGCGCACACATCTTGAACCTTATTGCTCAAGATGGGCTATCCCAAATAAGGCCCATTATTGATGATGTTCGTGATAGTGTGGCATGTGTGAAACAGACGGAGAGCATGCTTATTTATTTTTTCAGAGATAGTGCAAATGTTGCGTTTGCCCAACCAGAAGCTGATCCTGGACTGCAGACTAAGGTGGAATTCCACTTTTGAGATGTTGTCAACTGCAGTGAAGTTTAAAAATGTCTTTCAAAGGTATAAAGAGAAAGACCCACACTATAATTGTTGTCCTACCGTAGAGGAATAGGAAGGTGGAGCAAGTTTGTGAAGTGTTATGGTTGTTTAGTACCATTACTAATATCGTTTATGGGAGTGAATACCCGATTGCAAATCTATATCTCAGTGAGATTTTTTGTGTTAAGGTTATGCTAGATCAGAAGTCAATAGATGAATATGATTTTATTCGACATATGGTTACGAAAATGAAATAGAAATTTGACAAGTATTGGGGAGAGTGCAACTTGTGGATGTGTGTAGTGGCTATCCTAGGTCCTAGGTGTAATTTGGCGGTGTTGGACTTTTGTTTACCTAATGTATGGTGAGATTGATGCCCAAGTACATAAGAGTAAAGTTAAAGATGTGTTGCATCAAATTTACCAGGAGTATGTTGATGATTATCAATCTCAATCCTCAAACATTGAAAAAACCAACTGCAATGGTTCTTGGAGGCAATGAACAAACAGAACCTAATGCGTTTGGTTTTGCAATGTTTGTAGAACATGTGAAAATGGTTCAAAGTATTCCACTAGAGGAATCAGAGTTAGATAGTTATCTGGGAGAGGGTTGTTTCATGTTTGTGGAGGGGGATTGTACAAAATTTGAAGCATTGGAGTGGTGGAAGGTTAATACAATGAAGTATTGAATCTTGTCTAGGATGGCTCGTGATATACTAGCAATCCTTATAACCACAATGGCTTCGGAGACCTTGTTTAGTACTGGCACCAAAGTAATAGAAACGTATCGAGCCTCATTATCTCCCAAAATTGTACAAGTGCTCCTTTGTGGAGGTGATTGGTGTTGCCATCTCAATGGAGTTCATAGAAAGTACAAAGTAAGTGTAAATTGTAAAAAGTGATTAGTATTTATGCATTTTCACTTACTAGTTAGTAGTTACTTTCATTTTTGTAATTGAATCTAATATTTTCCCTTGTAATTTAAAAGGAGCCAAAACAAGTAGAGATTCAACTTCCAATCGAGTGAAGCTTACGAAGTTTGAATGCTTCTTTTGGCCAGAATCCTCAGGTGTCCATCAACTCTTAATCACTTATGTAGTTATGTTTCATAATTAAAAAAAAAAAATTATTTTTCATTTACAAGTTATTCACAACTGTCCTTTTGTCTTAATGTTTAGGGTTTTTTTGCATATAAAGGTTGGTTTTTCTAAGGATCTGTTGGTTTTTTTAGAGGGTGGAGAAGAGATATGTTTCCTAATACAAAGGTTGGGTTTTTTTTAAGTGTTGTTGTGAACCTAAGCTGTGATGATGTTATTGTGATTCTTGTGAAGTGTTTATTTATATCATGTTATTGTTGAACTTGTGATGTTGTTTGAGAGGGTGGACTATGGAGAAAAGATGTGATTCTTGTGAAGTGTTTATTTATGTGATGTTATTATTGAACTTCTGATTCTTATGTAGTGTTTATTTATGTGATGTTATTGTTGAACTTGTGATTCTTGTGAAATGTTTATTTATGTGATGTCCATTGAGTTTTAAACTGGAGAATTTGTTGATTTTACCTTACATGTTTGTCCTAAAATTTAGATATTCTAAAATTCTAATTAGGGGTGTTTATTGTTGCTGCAGGTTTTTTTGAATTTGGAGTTCTAGACTTTGTTGGAAGGTCTTTTGCTCTTTGCTGGGCATAATATGTTTGTCCTGATTCCTAAAATTTTATAATTCTAATTAGGGGTATTTATTGTTGCTATGCTACAGCCTGTAGGTTTTTTGAATCTGGAGTTCTAGACTTTACTGGAAGGTCTTTTGCTCTTTGTTGGGCAGAATATGTTGGCTTGAAATTTTGATATTCTATAATTTTAATTAGGGGTATTTATTGTTGCTGTAGGTTTATGAATTAGGGATATTTATTGTTGCTACAGTGTTTTTTTTTTTTTTTTTTTTGTTCTAGACTTTGTTGGAAGGTCTTTTGCTCTTTGCTGGGCGGAATATGTTGGCCTGAAATTTAGATATTCTATAGTTCTAATGATGTATATATTTTGTTGTTGCAGGTTCAAAGGGTAAAAGTCTAGTGAAAGGCAAAGGTGAGTAGGTGACCCGTGACTTGGCTGCTCAACTACTGTAAATTTGGTGTTGTTTTGCCAAATGCCAACAGGTTATATCATGGCTGGTGTATATTTTGTTTTATGTTAGTTTGGACTTTGGAAGCAGTTGGCTTGGCCATTGTATTATGCATGTGAATGAGATAAATCTCAAGTCCCAACCTCTAAATGTAATTATGTATTATGTAAATATGCAATGGCTCCTTAATCTTGAAAATATTAATCAAGAAGCTTCTCCTCTGGATTCTATAATCCTGGATTCTCAACTTCGGTTCAATTGAAAATGTAATTTGATTGCATGTGTGGTTTCAATTTTAGTTTGTAATCTGTATATAAAATTGTTACACGAGCTTTTCATCGAGCTTGATTTCGAGCTGGGTAATGAGCTCCTACTCAAGCAATAAAACGGTCCACAAATCAAGCTCTATTAACGAGTCTAGTTCAAACTCGAATCGATTTGGAGAAATTCTTGAGCCAAATGAACTATTCGCAAGCACCAACTATTTGACGATCTCGATCTCGATCGCGGATTTCGCCACTCGTCGAGCTCGAGTTCAAACTCAAACTCGAGCCTAATGAACAGATTACGAGCTAAGCATGAGCCGAGCACTGTTTGGCTCGGCTCGGCTCGTATACACACATAAACAAGCATGGTCACTAGAGTTTTTACTCGACCGGTAGTTTTAGGATCCCAAAGATTAGTTGAGGTGCACATAAACTAGTCCAAACACCCCATTCATAAAAAAAATAAAAATAAAAAAGAACATTTTATCCTTGTGCATTTAACAAAGTTTGGACAACATTAAGGTTTTTGGAGGTGGTGTTTAGTTTCCATTTCCAAAACATCTGGAGATAAGGTGACTAAAAAGGTTTAAAGTTGTGCAAAGACTTTGTTAGGATCCCTTATTGAAAGGGAAAAGGGTGGGATGTGGGTTATAAAGGGTTTGGGCACCCTCACTTGGCAAGCCAGTTTTCCAAGGAGAGTTCTACCCAAGCCCATGAAAGACTCATTGCCCAACCCAATTGTTGAGTTGTTGGAGTGGGTTCCTATCAATTGGTATTAGAGCATGATCCTGCACCTACGTGGACATTGCATACATGGCAGGTTGACCTTGGGCCTAGCTACTACCCCAAGAAAAGGCATAAAGGCTCGAGGGAAAGAGGATCCATGTAGTTACCCAAGGGGTAAAGACACTGACAGGGGTAAAGAGGCCGATGTGGATGTAGGTTGCGGAAGCGTGGTGGAATGTTAGGATCCCTATTAGAAGGGAAAAGGGTGGGCATGTGGGTTATAAAGGGCATGGGCACCCTCCTTTGGCAAGTTGGTTTTCCAAAAAGAGTTCTATCAAAGCCCATGAAAACTCATTGCCCAACCCAATTGTTGAGTTGTTGGAGTGGGTTCCTATCAAATGGTATCAGAGCCAAACCCCGTCTGAGCCCATGTTCCAGAAGGGGCACTCTGGGAAAGAGCTACTTAGAAAGGAGCGACCTATGAGAGTAGGCCACTTAGAGTGAAGCTGTCCAGAGTGGGCCAATGTCGACATTAGATCTCGAAGCGTGGGGGAATGTTAGGATCCCACATTGAAAAGAAAAAGGATGGCATGTGGGCTATAAAGGGCTAGGGTGCCCTCTTTTGGCAAGCTAGTTTTCTAAGGAGAGTTCTACCCAAGCTCACAAAATGCCCATGCCCTACCCAATTAATATCAATTTGCGAGTGGGTTCCTATCAAACTCCAAATAGAAAGACTTTCTGGAACTACAGAGAGGTGTTTGATTTTTTTTTATTTTTTCTATTCCTATTCATGGTAAAATGGAAAACTTATAATATGTCAACAATTTCATCCATTTAATTTGATTAATTCATTCACTAAGCATAGATATGACATTAAATATTTTCTCATCAATTGACAAATGTTTATGAATTAATT